ACGCCTTTCCTGCCTCCATGGGACACATTTATCCCAAGTGTCTAAAAACCCCCCAAATTCCAGCTCTTTTCTCAAACCCTGTGTAAACGTCACTTCTCGACCATGTCCTGCTTTCCCGATTGCAGCTGCCATTTCTCTCACGTAAAACTTAGCACCAGGAAAGGCTAGTGAAAAAGAATTACATTTTCCCATCATTTTCTGGATGGATTTTAAAGAAACGCTTGTCTTGCAACCAAGAATGAACTCTCTTAGTTCAGCGAACCTTTGGCGGGACGATAAAAGCTTGCTCGTTAGTGTCAATTAACATCCCAAGGTACTGAAGTCTGATTGCAGGAGACGAGTACCCAAGTCCCGTTAATACTCTGTACACTACGTATAGGGCCGCCTCAGCTGCCTTCTCACTAAACTTCGAATCACGCTATTTCAAACTGCGGGACCAAAAACCATGCTTACTCATGATTTCCCCAATCAGTCTGCCGTCGATATATAAACCGCAAGTAATACCCATTCTTCCAAAGAAATGAGTCGAGGCCATACCGGTGGTTTGGTATATAAACGGGGACTTTTTTTCAGTCAAAAGGGATTGTTGTTGCCACGGACCATCACCCTTTCCATTCAAGGCCAAATAGTTCCTGAGATGATGTAGCAAGAAGGATGTGATCGTATCCACCCTTGTCGTCGATTTTTGGAAGAAACGAACCCGGATACGCATATCTATGTACCGAGACGAGGGTATCCAACGAAAACGGGGTGTCCGACATCCGCAAGTTTACGAAACGGGCGTCGATGCATAGCCTTGGTTTGTTAGGTTTGATGGTGTTTGTTAGGTAAGATGACCCAAGGGGGTTCTACTGTTCCTACTCTACCCCAAACACGAACTGCCCCCGTCCTCACTCTTTCCACCAATGTTTTAGAGATGAACTCTGTAAACAGTTTGCACGACTGGTGGATTTTTAAGTGTTTTCTGGGAGGAAATCGCGAATCATATTTGCTGCCCTTGAACGTTCCTTTGAATGGTTTAATAAATTCCTTGACATCCACTCCATACTGCAACCACTGTAATATTTGCTCCTTGAACAGGTTGTTTTCCAAAATGCGCTCCCACACTGGAAAGCGTTTGTGGATCTCAGCCGCCCTGAAGCTTGAAGGGTCTCTGAACAGCAGATCATTCATATTTCCCTTCTCCCCCATTTCTATCCTTGCAACGTCCGCGGATATTTTCCCAACACTGGTCATCTTACTTGGGCTTGGGTGTCTATCAACAGTAACCCACTTAATCTCAGAAGATTTCTGCGCTCCACGGGGGTTAAATTCATTTAATACCTCGCAGTCAAACTAAAAAAATGGATATGAAAAACAAATTCAAAACACTGACTAAGGAAAAAAATACCAACCCAAGCCCAAGAAAGATGACCACGGTTAGCCCGCTTCGCGGGTTCAAGGATATTACCTATTGACACACAACTTGTGGGGTCACCCTCTTGAACCTAAGCCGTCAAAAAAAAAGGGCAACACACCACAAGGTAAGGGAACAACAAACGAGACATTTTATTCCGTTACACCCTTATTTAAAAATTGCACAAATGATTTGAGTAATTCAGAAGATAAATGTAAGTCACTCATAGAAGAAATCTACTGGCGTTTAGATGCCTCAGCCTTTGGGCACGCACGCTGCAAATGGCCCAGCTGGCCACAGTTCTAGCATCTTCGGGACTCACGACCTCTTCGGTATCCATATGAGGGTCCCCTTGTTCTCCCAGCTGTAACAGGCGGTGAAAAACTTTCCTCTGCTCGGCTTGACTTTCTCGCCTTCTTGATTACCCTAGCAATCTCAGCTTCCTCCTTCGAGGCCACTAATTTGATCAGGATATTCTGTAAGGATGCGTCTGCCACCAGGGGGCGACACTTTCTGAGGATTATCTGATTACTCGAGTATCGCTCCTCCGCATACTTCTGTGCTAAGTCAACTACCTCTTCAAGAGCTGCAATCGCGGCATAGGAATCAAACAGGGCCGGTGAACGACCCACCAAAGCCTGTAAAGCCATCAATGCTGTATCAATCGAGCAGGACTCGGTTTTCTTTTTCAACTCGTTGAGCTCTTTGCGTAATTTTGTTACCTGAGAAACGGAAAACACAGAGAAATCTAAATAACTTGCCAACCCTTTGGCTATCAGATATCCCATATATTCAATATCTATAGCCTTGCAGGTCCATCTGGCCATATTTTCTTTATGCAAGCCCATAACATTATTAATTTTGGCCTGTACTTTTCTCTATTCAGGTCATTGTAATTCTAACAATTTTGGCCTCGTTAGCTTTCATGCAGGCCCAAAGTATCTATCCATGACGGCCTCCTTTATTTATACTATTTTGTTTATTTCTTCAATGGCTTTGAAGACAGGCCCGTTAAGTCTTTCTACTCATTTGGGCCTCGTTTACTTGTCTTACAGGCATGTTTTGGCCTCGAACGCATTATTCTATTTTCCTTAGAGGCCCTTTTTCCTTTTTCTTTTCTTTCTTTCTTTCTTTCTTTCTCTCTTTCTTTTTTTTTGTTTTATTACATGCCCATAACGTTATCCATTTTGGCCTCGTGTAATTTATTCAGGTCCAACAATTTTTTGGCCTCGTTGGCTTTCATACAGGCCCACAGTATCTATCCGATAATGGCCTCCTTTCTTTATACAGAACAAATTCTTTTTGTTCGTTTACCCATTGGCTTGGGGACAGGCCCGTAAGTCGTTCTACTCGTTTCGACCTCGATACAGGCCCATTGTTGGCCTCGAATTACTTATTTTACTTTTCTACAGCCTCATTAAGTTGACCTCGTTGCATAGGCTGGGAATTTGTTGCAACAACGAAACATTACCTGTGGGAAGCGTTACTTATAAAAACGATCGACAGATACAATAGAAATGCAAATACTCGTAAAACCCAATACTGCGGCAATGCTGGGAAAAAAGAGAAGAAGATGCGCAATAAAAGATTAAACATATGTACAAACCCCACGAAAGCAAAGCCAAACGATCTTGGGTAAAATTTCCACACAACCCCATCCTATATTATGCATTCAGTTCTTGAATATAGAAGACAATAACGAAAACAATACTTTTCCATTGGGAAACAGATTTATTTCACAATAGTATGGGGCTATGCGGAAACTTTACCAAAACGATGATACAAAAAGACAACCAGCGAAATGAAAGCAAGAAGAACTCTGGCATTCGTGCCAGCTACTAGACCACAAAAATTCAGACTTATGTTCGAGAAACTTAATAATAAAAGGGGGTAACCTAAGGCTATGAGACAAGCAAAATTACACAAAATTCTCAAAAGCTGTCGAAGAGAATTAAATTTGCCTGGCTCGGCGGAACAAATGATTAAAACACCGGCATAAACAATCGTCTGAGCCATAGAACGATAATTCAAGCAATGAAAAAAGCACAATATACCCCAAGATCTCTCTGTAGAAGTATTAGCCGAAGCCGAGGTTGTCGGTGGAGTTAAATTGGCACCTGAACCGGCTTGAGTTGAAGGAACCTCACTGAGATTGCCAGAACTACCAGAAGTATTCCCAGTCGTAGGGACGACACCACTTGTTGACTGTAAAGGGGCAATAATCTCCGAAGGCTGAGACATTATAGCAGCTGGTGGGAGAACAAGGAACCATCGAGAGGACCAACAGAACAGAACGAAGGTTCGCACCCAATTATACAGTTAGTTTATGCTAATTTCAACGTCATAATGTGTAATGAATATTCAAAGGGTTTGAATAGGTGTAATTGTTATTCCTAAAAGATCAAAATATAATTTTTTTACTCTTCCTTTGCCGTCACTGAAGCCAGTGGATATGGAGTGAAGAATGTGGCTTGAAGTAATTAATGAGATGTCTGGAAAAGGAACAGGTTTAAAGCTTGTTCTCCGCACGTCAAGTTTAAATCGAGAAAAAGTTCTGTGCTTTTGTTGATGCTCTGTTATTAAGATGAGAACTCTGAGCTCTGTTATAAAGATGAGAACTTGACTTAGATGTTAACATCTAAACACAGCCATAATTTTGTTAATCAAATACGAACTTTTTGATTTGTTTAAACCTTTCACTCTTATTGCGCGTCTCTTAAAATGCTATAAGTCGGAAACTCATTGTTATCATTAATTATTTTAGGTTAGAGACACACGTAGATCTTTCTTATGGGGGATGAGGTCAGTGGAAGCGAGAGTGATATAAGTTTATTAAATCAAATATTTACGTATAGTTCTTCTGGCAAAGATTTCTGAACGGCTACATAGACTCGTTTATAGACGTACCTTGAAAAAATAAAGCAAAACAAAGGGAAACAAACAAAAGCAGAAGACGTCGCCGTCAAATTCATAAAGGTCAGTGCCGGAAACTTACATTTAAAAGAAATATTCTACGGTTTTAGAAGCTATGAAGCTATAAGCTCACTCTTCTTCATAACACGGATCGGCTACAAATTTAAGTGTTAATTTTAAAATAATTGTAATTATTGCATTTAAGAATAAATATTTTTTTAACGTTTTTTAAGTCTGATAGTTTATTATTGCCCGGGATATGTTGATAACGAGTCGATTATATCGTTTAATTTTGTCTTAGAGATACCAATTCTGTGGGATTTCTTGAGAAGATCTTTTCTATCAAATAACTGACTAAAGGGAGAATTGATCAACTTGTTTCTCTCAGAAATTCGTCTACATAAATTCTAAAGGAAAGCTCATTAAAAAGGTCGAGATTATTATCTAATCAAACCTAGATAATAATAATAATCTGTTATAATACTCGGATAAACAACAATTGTTCAGTTGACTCTGATGATGATTTCAGCCGAGGTTTTAAAAATGTCAGTCACTATTACTCACTATAACCATAAAACTGGATCATGTGAAATTCTTAAAGCTAATTCCCTGTTATCATTGATGTTCATGTGCGTGCCAATAAATTGATTTGTGAATCCTTTCACCGTGCAGAATGACTTGCTCATAACATTTAGTCTGTGCCACAGTAGCGCGAGTTACATCTAGGTGGCTTTTGTAGTTGGTAAATAAAGTAGGATCCGCAGTCTTTCACTTTTATGCCAACTGATTTCTCGCAACAATCTCCACTTCTGGTAAAGCAGACCATTAAGGAAACCTCACCATCTGCCAATGTGGGGTGACCACCTTTTAGCCAGCCTGAGAAGACCGCACCACATCTATTATCCGGTACGCACTGGGTTGGCATTTTTGTTCCTGCATCTCCCACGAAACGATACCATTCCCCGGATATATCGTCGTCACATTTTTCTCCATTGAGGGGTGTGTTGTAAGTGCTCTTTCTGTTAGCATCGCTCAGGTTTCTGTAATTATAGCACGGATCGGCTAAAAAGTTGAATTTCGGTTAATGCGATGTTTTACATATTTCTTCATAAGAAAGCTTAAGGAAAAAAAATTATTACATAAACTGCGGTGTTTAAGAAGGATTTCCCGCCCTGTGAAAAGCCGTAACAGCACGCATATAATATTACGATAACTTTTTACATTTGTTTACGGACAATGGCTTATAAAATTTCCTAGAAATGGAAGTAAAACTAAATAGGAGAAGAAAAATTGAAAGTTACATACTTGACCTGGGCAATGGTATGTTTTCGCAGCTGATAACGAAAATCGACAACTGAAAGATTTGCCACAGGCTGTTTGTGGCCATACACGTGGAAATATTTATTCTTTCGGTAAGGAAAAAGTCAATAACTGCAAATTTTGAGAATTTTGCCATTTCTTCGTCTTGAGCCTTATCGCGCTTTACGACTTTTTTTTTAGCGGACTGTGAAACCTATAATTTCATTCTTTAGACCCTTCCTCTCAGTAAAGGCCTATTTTGATTATATGATAAACAAAATAATACATGGTTGATAGCAGTTATGGAACTTCTCTTCTCGTGTTCAACTCGATACCAAGAAATTATAGCAGTTTATATTCTTGTGAATGAAAGTGATCCTCGCAGTAATGTGCACTACTTAGGCAGTAGTGAAAATAAGGCCTGAAAAAAATTCAGGCCTGTACGGGATTTGAACCCATGACCTCTGCGATACCGGTGCAGCGCTCTACCAACTGAGCTAACAAGCCAACTGGGAGCTGGTCATGATGTTGGTTCTAAATCCTTAAACTAAGGCCTTAAACCCGTGAAGTGATGAAATAAACGGTTAAGAATATATGAAAGTCCGCAGTTCAAATAAATGACTTTCATATATTCTTAACCGTTTAGTTTACATTCTCTTGCTCGACACCTTACTCGTTCGCTGCTCTCACTCATAAGACAGCGAGTTGAACACTCGAAGAGAAATTCCGTATCAACACGCTCCCATGTATTATTCTCTACCTATTGAATGAGGACAAATGGCCGAGTTTGTCATACAGCCTCGATGCAAAATCCTTGAATAGTTACCACATACAACAAGTTTAATGCGTGTCTGTGGCTCGATCTCTCAGGGAATGGGTTTTCATACAACTCTACTGACCACAGAAAAGGTTGCTGATGACTGTAAAGTCAAAAAACTTGTTGATAAGTGCTCCCGCAAAAATTGCCTAAAGCTAAAATTATTTGACTGTGAAAAAGTTCTCTGTGTCGTAGTGGAATTGTAATGTAGTAAATAGTTTTTCTTCGAACTGAGCAGATATGCCTGGACAACTTCGTTGGGAGCCGATTACTGCTCAAGCAATAGAGGACCTTTTTTCCGTGTTTACATACTCTCATCTGAACACGAGAGGAGGTTGGAAGAATTTGAGAAAATTATGCAAACCCGACACACAGTCGAGGGTTCGCATAACTTTCAAGAAATTTCCCAACCCTCCGAGTGTTTAATTTATCTATGTTTTCCTTATTCTCTTTGCCTGCTTCCTAATTTTAGGTATTTATTCTTCCATTAATTACTATTGAAATGATCTAGCTGGAAGCAAGGGTTTTTAAAGAAAAATTAAAAAAAAAAAGACTTGAAAGGCACAAAGTCTTGAAAGTAGGGAACAATTTTATATACAATTTGTGAAAAATCAAGTAATTTTAATCGGCATTGACCTGAAACGTTCCTCGAGTCGTTGCTCTCAAGGTCATAATTTCATCATCAAGATGATTTTTAATTTCTCCAATAAAAAGGGGCTAAATTGTACACTAAAATTATGCAATGAAAAAGAGAGGTCACCGTGCTCGTTAAAGAGCTAAAGAGCATCGTACCTCTTTGCAGGGTCCATTTATTAAAAAGCAATACCGTGCTCTCGGAATTCCCACGCGCTTATTCGCCTGATTACGTGATTTTTTTACGCAGCACAGGATGCCCAGTGCAATACTAAGGAATCTCCTTTAGACTGATCGCAAGATTCAATTTGTTACCGAAAAATGTACCGTGAAATGATGCGCGTGAAAAACTGCTAGTAGAGGCATAAATGGGGTAAGTTTGGCCCGTCATTTCTCTCAAACAAGCACGGTGACCTGTCTTTCTTATCGTATCTTCCGAAAAAGACATTTTTAGGGAACATTTAAGGAAAGACTGAAAAAAATTATCAGGTGATTTTTTTCTTCTTAGGAATCACCTTAATAGGCCAAAATGGGAAAATCTTAACCGCGGTCAACATCGATTTTAGCCAATCAGATTATGCTGGTTGATTGCTTTTAATCCTTTCGAGACACAGCATCATAATAATTCTATTTACAAGAACATTTATGCGTCATCAACAATAAATAATGGGGGCCATTGTTTTCTCTCCTGTAAGACAAAAACCATGCACATCAAGTCTTTAAAAAAAATAAAATATATCTTTCTTTTTCCTTAATGGTTTGTCGAAGGACGTTCAAGCAAACTAAAGGCTCTAAAAACTAACGTGATTTGTTACATGGCCAAACAAGAATAGCCATTCACTCAACATTATTGACAGCGAGTTCAGCCAGTACTATCTTTACAAATTTTTTAAGGCATGGATTAAGAGACTAACCTTTACAAGTCAAACCATCCCCAATATATTTAGGATTACAGGCGCAACTGTAGGAGCCCTGGTTATTACTGCAGGAGGCGTTCTCACCACAGATGTTCATTTGTGAACACTCGTCGATGTCTGATGGGGATCAAACGCACCACGTTACAGCCCACAATTGGGTGTTAAGATGAAAAATGTTTTGGTTGATCAATATACAATGAACACCTGTACAAAATACTGCAAAACCTAATCTCAAAAGATTTTTGGACAAAGTGAAATAATCCACCATTTCTAACAAGGGTGAATTATGGAGTAGAACTACATTTTAGGATAAATGTTTGACTACTTCTGGCATCATAATTTGAGTTAAAAGGACGTCAGACATAGTTTGATGCTACACTGGTTTGCAGATTTAATGAATGTAACCGAAGAAGTTACAATTCATAGACCCAACGTTTCGACACTCCTGTCTAGTGCCTTCATCAGGGGTGATCTAAACGCTGCGACAAGAGGTCCTTTTATATGATCACTAATTAGCGGCCTTTTTTTTTCTGACGAGGTGTAAATAGGCGTCAGGAAGCAGACCGCCATCGTCACGATTTAAAGGAGCGTGGGCGGAATTTCTGCGGTACCCGGAAATGAAGCGGAGCGCCTCTTGTCGCATTTGAATTCAGTAGAGCCGTCGATCCAATTCACCCTTGACCTTCACCTTCCTTGACAGGCTTTCAATCACGATTCTTGGAGTATAAAAACAAACAAACTCACGCAAACTAACATTTCTCAAAGTCATAACGAGGTAATTACCTGTGCAGTTCCGTCCATCTCCGTTAAATCCAAATAAACAGGTGCACACAAAGGATCCATTTGTGTTTCGACAAGTAGCGTTCAGGTGGCAATCGTGAGTGTTTTTTTGGCATTCATCAACATCTGTAAAATGGGAAAGAAAGGAAAAATTCTACAACGGTAGTGATTACACGAATGAGATATAAATTGTCTTTTAAACTCTTATGAGATGAAAAAGCATTTCGTTAGTTATCATTGTGACAGATTAATTTTTCATTTAGATTAAACCAAAACTTCCACTGCAACGGAATCTCTCTCTAGACACCATTCCAAACTGTAGCTGGATATCAGTCGTCAAAGATTAGCCTTGGTAGTCTTCCGTTAAGATACGCACTCGACGGCCAAACGTGATATATAAATATGGCGGTTTAAATACTCCAGGATATATTTTGTTCTTATCGGTCTATTCTGTAATTAACCTTTTTCGCAATGTTCTCCTTCGAATCCAGGAGGGCACGAGCATCGATATCCCTTGATTGTGAAACCGGACTGACAAGTTGCATTATTTTGACAAGGTGGATTTTTACCGCAGGCGTTCTGAAAAGAAAAAAGAAAAAAAGAAAAATTAAAGAAGATCAATGTATTGAATGATTGATACATGAATGAACGAACTTAAGTTTTGTTAAACGTCGTTTGTTTTCCACGATTCATCGCCGAGTTGCTGAATTTGAGTTATACTTCATATTTTACCTTTGAGCCTCGATAATAAAAATCAGCATCAGTTATCAGGTCAGTATCATGGTCAAGATGAGTGGCGTTATTCAGTTCACAAACATGAGCCATTACACTTGTATCTGGCTCTTTTTTGAAGTTAGCACTGACGCAGTTGTCGTTCATGTAGCAGAAAAGCTCACATTGATCCAAGTCTTTGACGTATTTGGTTTCGATTTCATGGTTTTCCAAACGTTTTTCAGCAAAGAAGAAGTAATCTGGAAACAGCATTGTGCGATCTCGCTCTTAAATAAAGCAATCAAAATATAATTAGAAAATAATTTTTTCTTATCATACAGAAATAAACTCACGATTTCAGTTATTAAGCGTGCAAAATAACACGCTTGATGAACAAAGAACTGTGATCTCAATTAAACCATTACTACAGAAAATGGAGAAAAATTGATAATACCTTCATTTGCAGACTTTTGTCTTTCTAAGAACATAAGTATCTAGGACAATTTTCCATGTCTCAAATCCGCGATCAGATGGCACAAAACATCACACAAAACATCACATAAAATGCTTGCGGAAAAGACAAATTTGAGTAAAGTTTTTAGGGCACTAGATAGTTACACCCAGCCCCCTTCCCCACTGAAAAAAACTTTCAAAACAAAAGTGAAACGCAAACAAAAATTGGTAGCAGCGACCATCACTTGTCTTTTGTGAAGAAGCAAGTCTTTTAGAGAGAAGGTTCAATCTCTCTATTTTCCGGAGCGATATTATTTTAGGGGAGATAGGGCAAAATCCATAAAGAAAAGCGATCCGTCAATCTTTTACTGTTGCTGTAATCTATCATAATTATGAATATTTTGTGTAATAGAGCACAAGATAATTAACCTCAGCTCTCCCTCCCGTCCAAAGTTTAAAAACAAAAGTAAAACGAAAACAAAAATTAGCAGCAGCGATCATCACTTGTGAAGTAAGGATGTTTATAAAGCATTTCGTGTCTTCTTGTTTCCCCTGAACGATATTATTTAGCGGAGATAGAACAAAAGCCGTTAATAAAAGCTATCCGCAAAATTTTCCTTCTCTCAAAAGTTCTTTCTCTAATTCATGATCGATAAGTCATGAAAAAAATTCATTTTTTTTATAAACCTTAAACCTCGAGTTTAAACGATCGCCTTTGGTTATTTTGACCGACTATCATGGAAAGAGGAAAATTATGCTAATTTCCATTAAGACAGGCCATCGTTATCAGGCATCACACAGGAGATTCATATACGGGTTCAAGACGTTTCTATCGATATATACATTGGGAAATTCGAATTTTTCTCGCAAAATGGTTAATTCAAATGAAAAAAGTCAAACACTATATTTCTCAAACAAAAATATCGAAAGTACCTACAATTTAACGGTAGTCATGCCACCTGTTTTTGAGGTGAGTACCTTTAAACTAATCCTTAAATGTATTTTTGCTAATAACTTTCTCTGACACTTGCACAATACCCGATTTTTATTTCATGGACGAATATCCAACAAAACAATGTAGCTATTCTTTACCATATGTCAGCACTGTTCTGTACAATGTTGTACATTCATTGTACAATGAAGTAATTTGTATTTGCAAAGTTTTTGTCGTTTTTGTCGTTTTTGCCGTTTTGCATCTAATCTTTCTGAATAAGAAACGATAAAACATTTTTGTTTAATTTTAATTTTTCAAAAACGAGTTCCAATCATGGGTGGATGTTGAATGTCGGTCTTTGCTAATTGGTGTAACTTTAAGTCTTTTTGTATCTCATAAGTAAATCAAAGGATAAAAAATGATTCTCCGTCTGCGACTCACCTTTTCCAAAAGTGAAGCTAGTCAATAATGCATTCCAGGCTATGAACATGAAAAATGAAATAAATTCCATGCCTTCTTCAAGGTAACGGTTTTCTGTTTCTACCCCGCGCGTATGGCACAAGTTTTAAGTTGATCGCCAGCTCCCGGCAGTGGATTAAGCTTCCCAAATCGACCTGTCGTTATGAACGAAACCGTATTATGAAAATAAATTTTAAAAAAAGGCCTGTAGCTGTCGGTTCTATGTGGACATTAATGCCAATGACGCAATTGGGTGTTATCCGCTTCGTTCGATGGAGAGAATTAGATCTCTTAGGAATATCTTTAAATGTTAACATACTTATTAGACAGTGAAATTAGTCCCCAGAACAACAACTTTGTAAAAATTTTGATCAATTTCTTGAAGGTCTAATTGACGGCGAAAAACCCCAGGAAAAGCAGATACTGAGACGTTAATTTCTTTTAAACTTTTTGATAAAAAGAACTTTCAAAATTTAAAAGATCATGCATATTTTTCAGCATATTTGTCCAGCACATTTTTCATTCATTCCCGCTAAAAGAAAAATACCCTGCCAAATTTATTGTATTTTTAATATTTGACGTATGGCAACTTTGGTAATAATAGACATTTAATTAACAGAAAAGTCATGTTACCGTTTCAAGCCTGCCTTAATTTGTCAGTGTTTGGAGTAAAAATACGACATGTTATTCTGTTCAAACTTCGCTCCTTAAATCAACTGAAAGAGTTGATAATCAACCCTAATACAAAGCTTTTTAGCGTACGGATATCTCCCTCCATTAGATGTTCTTAAACTGCCCATAGAAGAACAAATGTACAAGGATTAAAAATCTCCATTCAGAAATTTCGGTTCTAGATGTGAAGTGATGACGACTCGACCTCGACAAGAACTTCAGAAGAGATGATATATTCTTACTAAGCGAGAAAAAAAATTTGCACATGTTTGTGGTTTTGAAAGTTAGTTCTCTAATTAAGAAAGGACTTTCATCAAACTGTCGCGCGATTTTACTTTGAAAACTTGCTCTGGCCTTGAGGAAGTCTTTGAGAAAATACTGACGATTCTTGTTGGAATTTACAGTGAATATTTACACAGCTCCATCTTGCGCGAAAGCCACAATGAGCATAATTCACGGACGTCAAACACACGCGATACAAACGATTTGCCCGCACCTCAAAGGCTTAAGAGCTACAATACAAATTCAAGTTGACAATGAGGACAAAAAGATTAAACAAAATGCGATGTAAATTTACGCTGATATGCCAAATACTTAAAAGCTGTTGCTAAATATTTTTTAGCATGACGGTTTTTAATGAGTCATCGACAGTGTAGTTCAAATAAAATAATGGCGCTGCAAATATGACTTTCTTTTTTTCGTTATACACACTGTCTTGAAATTTGCTTACGTCCTTTTCGCATTACTAATAGTTCATTGAATTTTCCACTGTCTTGTCTCAAGAAACCTTAAATCAACTCGTAATAATGATTCGAAATTATTTCAAAAGTTCCTACTCTTGTAAAATCGTTCGATCTTCTTCCCAGGGCTTCGTCACCACAAGTTAGACAAGAAGCACAACGTTTTGCGTCCCGGTATGATAAAATCATCCCGACAATTTCTGTACGATGAAACATTTTTTTTAGGCGCACTTTTACCAGAATTAACAATTAATTTCTCCCCTATTATTTAACATAGTAAATGTTTTGTTCAAGATGACAGACAAGGCAGATAACAGAAGCTGTTTATGTCTTTTTATGAGCCACAAAATGACGTCTTTAATATATTATCTCATATATTTTTCCAGCTTGCCTAATTCTTCGGTGGAATTTGCTCGAATTTTCAAGTTACGCTTATAATTGTTTAAGTTCTTATTAGATGTGATATGCCACGGAAAAATAGCTAAATAATTTCGAACTTCAATTTAATTAAAGAAATAAAACGTTGGAAAAATTGTGTGATCCACATTTCTAGTCCTCAAGTCTCTATTGTTTAAATTTCAATTGTATTAGTCTCGATGCACGAATGGTTTAATTTCTGAAATTGAAAACTGTCAAACAATCTTTAGAACTTATGTAAGGACGAACATTTTTCAACAGTCGTTACATATTTGTTTTGTATCTGAGGCGAAGAACTGTACATAAATTTAAGAAAACGTTTCAGTAAAGAATAGTGAAATTGTTTCAAAGACAGCTTTCAAGACATGGGGTTTTGCCTAAGTTAAGAGGCTTGCATTTTTCAGGGAACTTATTCAGCGTCGCTCTTAAGGCCCTGTTTACTATTCAAATTGTTATCTGATAGTTGTCTTTTAACTGTCGTCTGGTCTCATTCGTGTTTTCAACGATATCGAGAATATTTTATTTAGGCTGGCGATAAATTAAATCGTGCTATTTTTTGCAATTACGACTAGGCCAAACTGTTCGACTGAAGTTCATGTAGACTTATTTTCCATCGATTACGATTCATCTTTCGTTAAATGTGATTCACTGGCGCCTTGAAACGAAGTAAGTAGGTGAATATGTAGAATATGGAACTAGCAATCAAGGAGATGCAGATGATAGAAATACAGAATATTGTGGTGAAACTTGCAAGATTTACTTTACGAAGCATCGTGTGTGTTATAGTCTTCATCCTGAACTTTTCATCTTACACTTAACGAAGGGTAAATTATGATTTTCCTGGTTTTTACTTAAGCATTCATGAAACAATCAGTTCGGGAAGTTAAACGCTGACTACCATGCAATACTGCTTCCGTTGAAGGAAAAGAACTCAAGGCCACTCAGAAACTGGCATTACATCGTCGTTTTATAATCGATAACAGAATCCTTGGAATCTTTTAGCCGTACAGCATTTAGGTTTTTAAAATCATATAGGTACATTAAGCAGAAGGCTCGTATAACTTCAAGGTGGTAAGACATCCAATAAATTTTATTCGTACTTTGAATTATGCGTCGCCTCTATTTCATTTTCTACGGTCTTCTTAAGGACAGGAGTCTATAAGGAAACGGTTGCTAAATCCTTTTTTTCCTTATAACTCTACTTTTGGTGTACTGTCTTGTAACAAAATAAATAATAAAAAAAAGAAATTGCCGGTTCCGCGTAACTTAACGAGCCCACCGAGGAGATTACGGGAAACGGAGAAAAATTAACACTGCCCTCATTTGCGGATTTTTGCCTATCTGAGAACATAGGTATTAAGGATAATTTTCTACGTCTCAATTCCGCGCTCAGAATGTCCTCGTGATTTCAGCTGAGATAAAGGAGGTTAACACATAAAATGCTTGGGACAAGACAAATTTGAGTAAAGTTTTTTAATTGTTTTTGTTCATGTCGTTGTTACCGCTGCTATATTTTAAATTCCCAACTTTATGTATAATACGGGTCCTA